CTCCAAAAGCGTGAAAAAGTAACCAAAAAGCGGCTAAATAGCGCAATACAATGGTAGATTAGACGATTAGACAATAGAAAACAAAGACATTATCATCAGTACAATCATTAGCATTTTTTTTATGTTTTCCACTTAAGCTAAAGCAATTATGATCACCAGAATTGTTCAATAGTCAAGAGTGTGTCGATAAGAAGACATGCAACTCAAAACCGTGAGAAATTTAACAAATTTGTTCCATCCAAACACTCTTGAAAAAGACGTGCGAGGGCAACAAGTATCTTCCTCAGGTCTCGGAAAAAATCGCGCAGATATTAATATGAATATGAATAGAACCGCATGCATGGCACTATGATAGACACGATATAGAAATGAAAGAAAGTTATAGTGCTTAGAAGGAGGCAATCCCGGGAGAAAGGATGTAAATTTGATGTAAATATGATGAAAGTGTCCAAAATGATGTRACTTAATTCGATTTAATTGTTTTGTTAATTAGTTTACGTTAAATTTACATCATTTTGGACACTTATATTTACAACCTTTAAAGAGCGCGATTTTTTTCAGATAGTATGTATAGTCAGTGTTACGCAAGCAAACCAAGCTAAGATTACGATACCACAGACACCAATCACCAATCATTTATCAGTACTCAACTTTCTTATGATTGAATGTATGTATTTTTGGTATTTGTTGCATACTCGTACATTCTGTCTTTCATAATAGTTCCACGGCCTTTCGTGAAGCAAAAGAACATAGGTGATCTAATATAAAAAAACTAGACGTTCTAATATTGCTAAGTGTGAGAATCAAGATTTGAAACAGAGCTACTCAATATCTCGTTAAAGTCTGTCAAAAAAGCCCTTGCACAATACTTTCTATAAGGAAATCAGTACTTACCGCTGGAGTTCAACAAGATTGACAGAAAATCGTTCCATGAACCATGCTAAATCACTTGGATTACGGTAGAGCCATCGTTCTTCGCCGCAGGCACGGAATTAATAARAGTTGTGGATACTACACTGAGTACTTATCACGTGATATATCACATGACTTGTCTAAGCCAAGTATATGCTATGATAGCTAGTTGGCATGATGTGAGATACGAGTTTTACTAAAATGCGGCACCGTAGAATCTAGTACTCTAGAAATCCCTGATTTCTGTATACTTACTAGTGAATCAAAAAGCTCAGAGAAATGTGCCGCTGCTACTAAGTACTTTTTGTAGGAACTGAACATCGTAATGGTTAATAACTGATCGCTGCTCTTTTTAAAAGAATCCTAAAACCCCGCTTCATGTTTTCTTTGTAAAATGTCCGGTGAGCATTTCTGTAAAAGCAAGATTTTGAAAAATGGATTTTGAAGATTATTTTAATAATGAACACAGAGAATTCAGTTTTACATGATACTACTTCTTCACGCCGGTGTTAGATTTAAAATTTAATATTGGATTAACTCGTGGACGACATTTTTTTCACAAGAACAATGTTGAAAATATAAAACAACGCGATGAAATAACGATCCAAGAATTGAAAGATTCACACGACATAGAGTGYAGTCACACACCAAAACCATGAAAAAYTTAGCTTATCTATGCGACTTCCTGATTATCAAATCTTCAGTACTGTATTTCGCTATTTAGCAATATTTGGATAGTACTTTTTCACGCTTTTAATGTTTTTAACACAACCTCGTTTCCAGAAGAAAAAAAGTCCCGCATACTTTATGCATATTTTTGAGTAGATAATAAAACAAGAATAACGTTAATAAAACAAGAATAACGTTCGCTTGTTTTGATATTTACAGTCCGTTTTCCATGTCGTTACCGTATTATTAAAGGTCTATCAGCCTATTTTTTTTTATTTTTTATTTTTTATTTTTTTTTTTTTTGCTAGGCGAGCTAGCAATAAGTTCTACCTTTTTTTCAATCTATCTATCTATGTATCTGTCAACGTTGTGCATAGTACCACATGATGCTCTACGAGCTTTACCACAGGGACCCCAAATGATGCTTTGAAAAACTTCGAAACGTCGGTAACTTCTTTCAGTTTTACTGTAAATTATCATTTTATCACAACACGTACAGTATTATGCAAGCTAGTCCGCTTTCACGCTAAACTTAGCATCTTGTATATTTTTAAAAATTCAATGAGCAATTTTTAAACTTGACTTCACAATCACATTACCGACCGAGTCGTGAAGAGTTTTCAAATAGCTGAAAAAAGGCTGTTTACATTTAGAAAGCGTGATAAAGAAATGACTAATAGTTTTCCATCCTTATAAAGTGTTAGAAGACTGAACAACTTCGTTTCCCAGAGTCGTATTCCTTTGCTATTACACCTGAGTACGATCTAATTGTCTTCTTTTCTGTGTATTTGACTATTGAGGTGATAGTCGATTTTTGTGTGTATTTGACTATTGAGGTGATAGTCGATTTTTGTGTGTGTTTGACTATTGAGGTGATAGTCGATTTTTGTGTGTGTTTGACTGTGGGGGGAGGTGATAGTCGATTTTTGTTTCACGGTTTTACTGATCGCACTCTAATTTAACTAATGTATGAAAAGCTATTTATTATTATTCCTTTTTTTCCATTTAGACTGAAATTGTTATTACCTAATGTAACAATTTCTTGCATATGAAATCTTTTCTTAGTGGACGTCATTTGCTCTTTTTGTTATCTATTGCCTTTGGATTGCAAGATATAAATTCTTTTTGTTCGCTGACTCTATGAGTGATCAGCCACATGTTCCTGGCCATTCTGATAAAATTGATATGACGTCATGTGCACATGAGACTAGCGTGATCTACGTGGTGTTCCGTGGTGTTTTTGTCGTTGTGATAAAATGATAAATTATSTTAAAAAGGTTTAAAACGATAGATAACTAAATGTCGATCATCTAGCACGTCGAAGAGAAAGAGGAAAAATAGCATCACGTAACGCCACGTTCAGGATAAGAACAAAATGTAGAGAACAAACAGACCCGTAGGCTGCCCTGCAAACACTGGAAAAAATCGCGCACCATAAAGGTTGTAAATTTGATGTATATATGATGTAAGTGTCCAAAATGATGTAAATTTGATGTAAATAATTTCCATCAAATTTACATCATTTTGGACACTTACAACATATTTCCATCAAATTTACAACCTTTAAAGCGCGCGATTTTTTCCAGTGAAATAGGGGGGTGGGGGTTCATTTTTTCATAATGCGGACCTAAACTAAATTAGTTCCTCGTTCTCAGGCCCTTTATCCCTTCGCTTGGGGATAGACGGGAAAAGGGACTTTTTTCCGCCTGAGCCCGTTARAACTATGTTAAAATGAGCTGTTCATAACAAAATACTGTCAAAAAACAGTTCTTTAAAAAAGAATTTTAAAATGAAACAATAAAAAAAGAGAAACACCGGAACTTTTTAAGCTTGTGGGGGGGAAGGGTCTTTCAGTTCGATTAGTGATTTGTGCTTCTTTCCAAAGGATAAGCAATAAATTTCATTTAAAATTTTAGTAAAAATGATTTCGATAATGTCAAATTATATTTTCCATTTTGGAACCGAAACTTTACATATAAGTTCATCAGACTCGCGCAAATTTTTAGTTTTGAGAGCCTGCAGTACATAGTGGCAGCATTCATCTTACCCACTACCTCCCACCTCACACCATTTCCCATTTATAAACCACTGATCAGACACTCCCTCCCCTYCCCCCTATATAAAATGCATGATACTTTGTTTTGCGTATACAATCGATTGAGAACGATTTCAATAGATCGAGTATCAGMTTTACAGCCCAGCTGATTAGCTAATCCTGAATCACTACAAAAACGGATTTAAAAAATATAATAAATAAGTATGAAAAAATGCCTTGAGCATAGCCCTACATCGCTTCCTATGCACGAATCCACGTCCGGCTAATTACATTAATACATCCATGACTTTTTCTTGAATAAGTGTTTMGTTTTTTTCATATTCTGTCAGAAATTGAAATGTGTTGAGTTTATTTACTGCTTTTCAYTCTAGTTGATAGGTAATTTCTCTTAGGGATATGTGCACAGGTTTCTGCATAAGGGGTTTCCATCTAGGGTTTCAAACGTCTTGGACTTTCCAATAATRTGTTGCCCTAGATTTAACATATAGTCTCACCCTTTTAGTCTCACCAAAAACTAAAGACATCAAAAYGTTTTATGAAGCGTAATATCGATCTATTTTACGTGATTTTTCACTTCACCTTTCTGAATTTTGCAAAATATTTTTGTTTYCTATTGTGAACTGCACACTGCGCCATTAARCACTATTTGGTTAGAGTGAGGTCAAAAACCCGTGAAATAGATATTAAACTARTACACCTTAGTCCGCTCTAATTGAAGTTTTTTTGTGTKCAAGTTTTGTTTCACGGGTAAGGGACTCTATAAGCACTAAAATCATGAAAAGCTTTACTGCCATTAAAMCTGTACTGAATTATGGTAATTCCTGTTTTTTGTTACGCTGTTTAGTTAGAGTGGTTTTCATAAAACCGTGATACAAACTATAATACACCGCAAAGACAAAGAAAAACRAGCAAAAAAAAAAGAGTAATAAAATGTCGTGCACTAAAGTGTATTTCAGAGAGTTCGTTAAACCCGTGAAACAAAATGTGACTCAAAAGCTGATAATAATTACTTAAAAAGAAAATACAATTAAATAAGTATTAAATTGCATCAGTGTAATATCTATTTCACGGATTTTTTGACTTCTAATGAAAATAATCATTATATTTGGTATGCACTATTTTACGCTTTTAGTATTTTGCACGAATTTGTTGGTCGACGATGTGTTTTCCTGTTGTTTGGACTATTGCTTCTTCTTATTTGCTCTATTCTTAGGAATAAACTGAAGAGGGGACTTAAAGCGATATCAAATATCAAAGAGCCGAATAAATTAACAAAGAAACTTGATTTTCCATCACTATACTGTCCACTGTGCACATCACGCATAACGGAGGCAAATGCAAATGAAATGTTTTTCTCTTTCAGAGATAAGAATTGAATTASAACAAATCTATAAAGGCGAAACGAGGGTGGAAATAGAAGCCTAAGACCCTAAGAGCTTCCTGATTATATTTGATAATACAGCAACTTTAGACAGGAGAGAAAACCTTAAATAGGATCAACTGGAATTGTTTGCCACACGGCTGACACGAATCCAAAACAGGTGAGCCAGTATATCAAAGACGCTAATTTCTTTGTCTTTTGACTGTTGTTCTATTTGCCGTCATTTTWAAAGTACAATGTCAAGTTCACTTTTTACAAAATGTTTCATTAATAAGAAAATTCACTGTTGAGTGCAAAATGTACGACACTGAACCACTTGTGTCAGTGTAAATTATGACATCAGTGTCTTAGTTATCGCAGTAATTTTCAGTATTTATTATTATTTTATATTACTATGGTTTAAATACTGGGCCTCGTTCAGTACTCGTACAGTACTCCGCTTTCATTCACTGACAGCTGTCATCCATCGTCTTTGCGATGCCTCAATCGAAGTTTTCTTTCTTCTACTTCTCAGTATTCTTCTTTTCATTGGTATTCATTTCACTGATTTTTGTTATTTTTGTTATTTTTGTTATTTTTATTTCTTATTTTTTATTTTTCTTGATACTTGATATTTTTTTTCGATTTTTCATTAAATAATGAACTTAAACATTTAATTCAAACTTTCAAAACATTCCTTAGGGAGCTAAGATTGTGATGAATATACAACAAGTTGGAATAATGAAAAGAAATCAAGACTCTTTCATTAAATTACTGTTGACTTGTCATATGAAATAAGATTCTCGTTTTAGTAGAACAAAAACGCAAAAAAAAATCAAAGCGTAAGAAAAAAGCTATTTGTTAATAAATGGCACCTTAAATAAAAAAAATTTCCAATAAAAAGGATCATATCTAAAAAAAATCAAAACTGAATTTGCACTTAAAAGGAACAAAACACCATAGATTGTTGTGAAAAAAAATAAAAACAACGATTTAAAGTAATGAAATCTAATTGAGTTTATATTGAAAATATCTTAAATTGATTTTCGCTCTTGTTTTTCACTATGGCAAAAGTTTGATTATTATTGACTGCAATCAGCAATTCACTAATGATCTTGTTTTTGTTTGCACACGTAGTCAATAATATCTCTTCCTCTTCCAAAAAACACGAAAATACTGCCGTTGATTTAAAGTTGTTACTATCAAAAGCGATAAGAATGGACAAAGCAGGCGCTACTTTCAATGCAACCACGAAAACCCCGAAAATCGTTATCAATTGAATAGTGCTCAATTATAAAAATATATGCAATTCCGTGAAACTTTCTTTAACTAGTAAAGTTTAAAAAAGTCAAACGGAGTGAAGTCCAAAAACCCCTGAAATAGATATTACACTACTACACCTTAGTACGCTCTAAAGGCATTGTTTTCTTTAATTGTGTGTATTTGACTATCAAACTTTAATAGTCAAATTTTGTTTCACACGTATAATGGTATCATGCTAGATCAACACAAATAATAATATATATTTCACAGATTTTTTGAGCGCACTTTAAGTGAATTGCGTCTTTAACACTCATTTATTAGTTAGCTACAGTGAAGTCAAAAAATTAATTAATTTAGTTTAATTTCGTTGTTTTCTTTTGTTTCTATTTGACTATCACACCTTAATAACAGTTAGTGCCTGTTCACGGATTTAATGACTGTATTTTGTGCTTTTAGAGCAGGCGCATTTAATCGGTGAATTTAGTACGAAATGAATGTAATTCCTTTTTCTCTTGTCTTATTAACACTTTTTAGTAATTAGTGATATTCTGTTCACGGATCTAGAGGTCCACATTCTTTTTGAACACCACTGTGTAGTACTTAAATAATTTTTTGACGTATTTTTTGAAAACCCGGATATAGTTACTCTACTCTTCAAGATTCAGTGATAATAATTTTTGTGATGGCTTATTTATTACCCAAAGATAGCAGTTTTAGTTAGACACCCATTTCAAAAAGCTGTTTTTGGAATAAGACCTCCAACCCATTGTCTAGTGATTGTATTACAGTAAGGTATCAAAGGATTAGCGGTCAAATAAGTACCACAATCCTTAAAAAGTGAATGAAAATAATAGCTCAAATTTGCAGCGGTTTTTTATGCGAAATCACCAGGACTTCACACGATATCTCACGGTAATGACCTTTGATAGCACATAAGAATTAACAGTGGTCAAAGCTTTTACTAAGAATTGTCTGAACAAAATATACAGTGACAAGATGTCTGTTGTATTCTAATCGCTTGTCATCTTACTCTAATTTTGCTAATGTACATGTTTTTTTCGTTCTTGGTATCATTCTTCTCGCTGTGTTCATTGTTTTGTGTTTGTTTGTTTGTTTATCAAAGTTCCTCATGCTATGATGCTGTGTTGTTTTCCATTCTTTTCTTGTGTTGCATTTTCAGTGCTATTTGATATCTTCTTCCTCCATGTTCCACGTCCTTCGTAGTTTCTTTTGAGTTGCTGTTTAATCTGTTGTTGTTTTGCTTTTTTCCTTTTTGCTTTTTTTCGGAATTTTTTTTTGTTTTATTTTGTTTTTAATCCAATTTGACTCAGTTCTAATTCAGAAATATTTTGCTTTGTTTATTTTATTGTTATCTCTTGTCATGGTTTAATTCTCTTTTTCTTTCGTGAAGTTATTTTACATTGGATGTGGTTGCTTTTGATTGTTTGCGTTGTCAATTCTCTGTCTTTAAATGCAATTTGATTTTTAATCTTTGTTCGTTTTCAATAATTTTAGCAGGGTTATAGTTCATGCAGATTTTGCTCGATTTATTGTTGATATCAACATTATTCAGTGAGAAAAATACTGTAACTTCTAAAATTCAAAAGCTTTGCTTTTTTTGTCCATAAATTACCGTTTTGAAAATAAGTGGTTCATTCTCCAAGAATTTCGCTTTTCGTTCCACAGTTTCTGCCTTATCGAATCTTTCACCATTTAATGTTGTTTGCAAGTTCTTTTGTCGCCTTTTTTCCCATGCCTTCTCCAGTGACTTTTCTCCTTTTTCTCTTTTTTTTTATACATATCTCCTCTTTCCATCTCTAGTTCATTTAATTCTTCCTCGTTTATTTCCTTCCTTATCTCTTGCAGTTTTTAACATTTGTCGTGTGCTATCATATCTCGTTAGAGACAGTATTCCTTGCCTAAAAGGTTCTGAGCCCGAGGTGTTCAGTACATACGCAGTTACGATTTCGCTGACGTCCACGTAGATCAAGTATCATTTGGCTCAATTACAAGTTCAAACACATTTGGCTTTTTGTGTTAAAACACACGAAAACAAATATCAGAAAAGACTGAACAACACTCTTTAAAAGAAATGATATATTAAACTCTTTTATTGTGAGTAGAAAACTGTTGAAAAATAACAAAAAGAGCTATTAATACCTACACAAAGTCTCTGTAATCCGGTAAGTGAGGCAAGCAAAGACTCACTTCCGACCTTCTATCGCCTGATAATGACGGCGCGTAATTCTTCTCCTTTCACTTATTAATATCTACAGGAAGCAATGCCATTGCCATGACAACTCTAGGCTATTATTTCTATAGCTAAATTGGACAATTTGTGAGGAACTCAGGAAGATTGGAAACTCTTAACAGGTAAACACCTACTTTATCGATAGAAGTACATTATTGAACATACAGGTTTGATTGATGCGTCCGCCATCTTGAATACCGAATGCCCAAGGGGCGCTCTCTTCCATATTTGATTACATCAAAAAATTACTTATATGATAATTTTTGCTTTAAGCTATTAATCATTGCTTTTCAATATTATGTATTTAGATTAAAGATATGTTTCCCATTTTGAAGAGTAAGATTAATAATTGAAAGTCATTCTATGAAACTTTAATCCGAAGGGAAATCCCAAGATGGCGGGYATATCCTTATAAGGTGTTTAGGTCATTGTGATTTTATCCGATTATCTGATTGCTTTTAAGTTTTCGCTTCATCACCCTAATATATCTGATCAAAACTTTGAAAATGGATGGATGAAATGAAACAAAAAGAGTTTGCCTTGAATCATATAGAGGCTTTTTCTCAAATTCTGTTTCTATTAAAATATCCATTTTAGACCACTCTCTCCGAAATTGATCATTCTGAGCCTTTGCTCATTGAAAAATATTGCTAATCGGCTGCATTCCTGGCCTGTTTTCCATCGGGTTTGACTTGCAGGAAGAATATCATAGTCCCACATGTACGTACAACAATAACATATGTTTACCTCGACTCCTGGTGTACAAATCTAAACATTAAAAAAAACATAAAGAAGATCTTAATTGATAAAGAACATAAGTTCACATACCGAAATGAAACTAGCTTTTAAGCATGTAGGCGCCAAGTTTTCGATCCCAGCTTTGAAACACTAGTGATGGAGAAAATATATAACAATTCAAGGGCGGATCCTTCCCAATAAAAAAAACAATAAAGAAATCTGAACGATACCTGAATGCAATTGCATTTTCCGCAGCCCTTAAATGTATCGATTCAGTTTTTTTCTTGTGTTAGCCGGCCCCCTTTTTATGATCTTCTTGATCCTTAACTGTAATTTCACGCAATTCAACTCACCATCTTTGTTGACGACATCATTTTTACAATTTTTGGAAAAAAACACTTTTAATATTATTACTATTTTGCTACATTGCGTAGTAGAGATCCTTGCTACTCGAAAATTACAGACGTTAAACATTTTTAACATTTAAAGTTTTTGTGAGTATTTGCCCTACTGGAAATCACCAAGAGAAGGGTAGAGCGTCTAGAAATATTCGACTTTTTAGACCCTGGTTATATGGCCCTTATCACTTATACAATCAAAACTCCCCGTATCATTAATAATGAATAACGGACTCGTTATATAGACTTCTGTTCTTTTTAACAGCAAACTCTTCTGGACGCATTTAAGACCAACATGACGTCAGCTAGTAACAACACCAACTCTTCAGCCAATAACAACTCTCGACTTGATGTCATGGCATATTGCACTGAATACCTGAACCTGAAAGAAGAAACACAAGCTGAAACCATTCTAAAACTAACAGCTTACATGATAGCATTCACAGTAGCTGTTATTGGCAATGTGCTTGTTATTGTTATCGTATTACGTAAAACACAATTCAAAACAACAACCAACTTGTTCATCATCAATATGGCGTTTAGCGACGTCATAATGGCGTTGGCATGCATACCGATTACTATGTACGCTATTGGCTACCAGAACATTGGACAGGCTTTTCTAGTAGGCTGGTTTGGCAGAGCTATCTGTAAGTTAATTCCATTCGTACAAGGCCTATCTATCGCAGTGTCCATACTGACGCTCACAACCCTAGCAGGGGATCGTTTCGTTGCTATCGTGTATCCCTTTCGAAATTTCATCTCCAAATCGAGAGCAAAGATATTGATTTTAATCATATGGTTTGTTGGAAGTTGTTTTAACGCGCCAACGTTATATAACATGAGGCTACACGAAGATGAGAACACCCCTTACTGTCGAGAAAACTGGCAGCCGTATTTCGATAACCAGAAATCTGCAAAAATCTACACTATTGTCCTGTTTGTGTTTCTGTACGCTGTTCCTTTGATGCTGATCACATTTTTCTACGCTGCGTTAATAAGAGAACTCTGGCAAGGAAGCACACTTCATTCAAACCAAACACGAGCGTTCTCCGAAAACAAGTCAGTGTTGAAAATGGTTTTGACAGTAGTTGTGATCTTTGCAGTTTCATGGCTCCCAATTCACGTGGTTCCCTTTGTCACAATCTTCGCAACAGACCCAGATCTACTCCTGTGTGGAGTCAGTCCAACTATCACGTTTATCGGTTGGTTTATGGGACACGCAAGTAGCGCCATCAATCCCGTCGTGTATTTGGTATTCAATGATAACTTTAGGCGTGAAGTCCTTAAGCTATTTGGACATTTGTATCAGAAATGTCTCAAAAGACGTCAAGTTATATCAGAAAGACCATTTCCAGAATCGCGTACCAGCACAACACGCCAGACCCACGCTGTCAGCATATCGTCAAACGATGACAAGAGTACCGCAGGAAGAGCAAATGACGCTTTTGAAATGGTTGCTGAGAATGGCACTGCTGAAGCCACGTGAAATATTTAAGAAATATTTAAGCACAGTAAGCACTTGTTTTATATTGGATCATTGAACAAAGACATCATTTCCCAACATCTACCACGATGCTTTGCGCGTTTCTATAAACATACCTATTTGAAATCAATGCAATGTTTGGACAGCTTTAAACAGCGGTATAACAGAAGGCGATTGTCCGTTCGGGAATTCAAAAGGAGACTGGAAAAGAGTGTGGAAATTGACCACTTATCGAAAATTTGATTTGCCACATCAAAGACCACACAACAATTAGGCTTCTTGTTTGAGACTATTTAGTTTAAAAATACTCGCCGATAAAAAATTTTCTAAATTTGCAAAAATAAGAGAGAAAAAGGACTATTGTGACTAATCACATTAGAAAATTTAAGCGCAAAGCATTCTGGTAGATGTAAACTATGACGTCGCGATAACAAGAACCTATTGCATTATTTAAAACATACAGGGGGTTTGGTAAAAACCTCTGAGAGAGTTTCACCTCTCTAAATTATAATAGGGTAAATTTGTTAAACTTGTTGAGCTAGACGCTCCTAAAGCTATTTCAAAAAAATGTTGCCCGAATGCCGAATGGAATGCCGATCTCTCGACCGAAAGTGAGTATGGGTATTTTTATGGATGTTATTCACTCATTTGCAAAAAGATATCGACAAACCAGATAAACTATCATCAAAGATCTTAACTGAAAGGAAACAACAGTATAATACCCATAGCAATGTTCGGTCGTGAATTGTCCAACATGTCCAGGCCCTTTCTAGACCGCTGCATTGAACTACTGGTCATGGGAAATACTGGACATTTGAGAAAATATAGAATTTCAGATAAACGAGAGCGCTTAATCCTTCAAACGAAAACTGTCAATTTTTACAACAAAAGACTCGTGCACAATAACGCCTGTAATTTTTGGCCGTTTCTTATGGGATCAGTACATGCGCATTTACGTCCTTCTGGAACCTTTTTCCTGCGACAAACAGTTCAGCGGAGCTTACTAGAAAAGGTTTGGGACTGGAGTATTTGACAACCCATTTTTGAAAAACAGTTCGGTATTCAAAATTCAATTCAAATCATTGCGAGTGTAGCAAATTTCAAATGGAAAAAAAGACTGAAGTAGAGAATATGTTTTATTTATTTATTTATAATACCGTTTTATTGACTTTGTTATTAGTATAGTTGGGCAGCCTGTGTAGCTGCTGTTACACTTTAAAACTGTTTTGTTTTGCTTTACTTCTTGCATACATATGTTTGCTATAAAATGGCACGTTTGATAAAAATAACATCTCAACGAATTCAATTAGACGTTCACTAGATGTTTAGACAGTATCTTATTGAGGCATAGTCTTTAGCATTTCAGACAGTATCAGGGTTTATTTATTTTATCCAAGGTTGGAAAATAAGTGTTGTTTATTTTGAAAAAATATCGATTTAATTCAACATCAGCTTCTACAGAGCTTAGAAGTAATGTGTGAGCCTGTATGAAAAGAAAATGCTTCTAAAAAAGGCACATGGCATGGGCATTACAATGTGAAAGTTACTAAAGCAGTCTTTAGTATTTTCTAATGCAGAACTGTTAATGTTACCACTTTAGATTGCCTTTCTCTTCCTCAGTCAAAGTCTTTTTTGACACGTCCAAAAAAGTGATTATCATAAGTTCTTTATAGAGACCAACGCAAAACCAGGATCTTTATCAGTGTACCGAAGTCTATTGTAATTTATGTAGTTATATGTAAATACTTACAAAACAATATTACTGGGTTTAGTAGAAAGGGGGTTGTTTGACCCCCTTTAATCTGAAATATCATCTAAACAAATAATATCGCTAATATTGGGATAGTTTTATGGCATAATTGGCAGAATATCGTAAAGTTGTGAAAGGTAAATTCATGGAAGAAGCCGAGATCGAAAGGAATTATGCGGTAGTAAATAAAAAACTAACTATTATGATATCCCGTATGTTACATTGTTTCAGCTCACGACGTCATCTATTGAAACATCGTTAAGTATTTGTTTATGCAAATAAAATCCATGGGATCCAAAATGCTCTTCTGTCTTAGCGTAGCATATGATGTCATCTCTCTTTAGCAGATAAAATGACCACATATGGTATATCGGACGTTATGGTGAGATGGATTCTATCTATGTTAGACGTTAGAACATGCTCTATGAGGTTTGGAAGCTGGAGATCGGATCCATTTAATGTCAGTTCAGGACTGCCACAAGGTTCACCGTTAAGTTGTGTGTTATTCAATATCTATACTGCTGACATTATTGGATGGACAAAAGACGAAGGAACTGATCCATTTTCATATGTAGACGACATTATCATAAGCTGTGAGAGTGAATCACCAGTTGAAGCACTTGATAAACTTCAATATGCATGCGCAAGATTAGAGCAGTGGACAAATAACAATCATATGAGAATTCAGCCAGACAAAGTATGTTGGATGATGGTTTCATTACGACATTTTGAACGTGATGATCTAGCACTTAAATATGCAGGAGAGAAAGTAAGACAGGAGTTGGAAATTATGTATCTTGGTGTGGTAATCGATAGCAGGCTCAGCATGATAGGACACATTAGTAATAACATCAGGAAAGCAAAGAAAGCTCTTGGAGTAATTCGCTATGCAGCTTGTCAGAACATCACATTNAATACATGGCTGAAACTGCTGAGGAAAATTAAATCTTCAATACGAATCGCCTACATCCCAGGTCATGCGGGAATCACGTATAATGAGGCAGCCGACCATCTGGCGGGAATGGCAGAACCATTCGGACACATCACTTTTTACCAGCAAGATATTACAAATCGACTGAAAGAAAACTTGAATAATGACAACGCACCAAAGACCTGGTGGTCGTTTCAAAGAATGAAAGAAAGGGCAATTAAATTTGGAGATGGAGGACGAAAGACAACCCGACTAAGTAACACTAAGACTGAAACCCAGGAAATCATGGGGTTGATAACAAAGAACACTTTGACTAATATTCTTAAGAAGGGATGGCCGGAGAGCTATATCTCTTGATTTACTAAATAATAATAATAATAATAATAATCTCTTTATGAACTCAACAACTTTTTTAAAAATCATGTACATCAAGGTTGAATGAATAACGAATGCTGAATGAACCAAATCGCTTACCTACAAACCCAGACTGATGATCACAAGCTTATGAGTTCAATAAATTGCACATGGCACATTTAGATCTTAGCATGCTCTATTTGGCCATCACTATTCAGTATTTCTATCAACCTTTTCTAATATGGTGTAAAAATAATTAAGGGGTTAGTTAATAAAATGCTCAACTTATATCTATAAGTGTTATTCTTTTTTTATTAATTTATTTCGCGAGCTATTTTATCTCTGCCAGAATATCTTGTATTTGTTATTTAAGATTAACATTACTAGAGAGTTTTTCTTAGTTAATTTACACTTAAATTTAGCAATCGGATTACATAGCATTATAATCAAAGAATTAAAAAAAGAAGGTCACTTCGCAAGATTTTAAAGTTAAAAAAAGAAAGAAAAAGGATAGTTTAGAAGCTGCTCGAATCGAACACTCGATTGCTAGTTCGAAGCCGTCATTTTAGTATGATCTTGTGTGTTAATTTATAATAAAACAAATATCTACAGGAAAAACTAAACATGACAACATTTCAGAAATACAGCAGAGAAAGAAGGATAAAAAAATTGTTTAGAAGTGCTCAATCGAGTCGAGAATCGAACCCGAGATCCTCAATTTAATCCCGCTTTCTGTAGAATATGATTTTCTATGTAAAATCAAAATAACGGCTCGAAAATAATAGTTCAAAAAATCTTCAAGGACAAAATTAACATGAAAAAGAGAGTAAGAAAGAAAAAATAATTGTTTAGAAGCGCTTTCGAATCAAGAAACAAGCCCGCGATCGTAAGTTCGACGCCGCTATTCGAGTATGATCTTGACTAAAATCGAAAGAAAGGCTTGTAAATATCAATAAAACAAATATCTACAATAAAAAATTGACATGACTAGAACAATTATATTTCCGAAAAAAATAGAAACAAATAGACATATTTTATTAAGACATGCTCGAGTCGAAGATCAAGCCTGGGAACCTTGTGTTCGATAAACTGCGACGTGAAGAAAATAAAAATATAGTCGCTTAACACAATATTCTGGCGAAAAATCTACCCAAACCCCAATTTTTCGTTTTTTAAGAAAGCTTTTTTTAGTTGCATGGTTTCTTGGTAGAAGTATGAAAAAAATCAGACATCATTAGCTGAGACAAATCCATTCGTGTCCGAAACAGCGAGATGATTGGTTAGCTGGACAGCCATTGTTGCACATCCACTCTTTCTAAATCTATCGCGGATCAGAAGTAATTTCCTGGTTAATGGACTTCTTGAATACAGGCATCATTACTGTAGTAGTTTTAGTTTTCTTTGACTTTTTAAGGCGCAAGAATCAATTAAGCCCCGGGGATACTTTACCCAGATTCCAACAGCAACGTTCCGCTGTTGCCTTTAAATGCTGATCCTATTAAAAACAGGAAAATCGTGAAATTTCGTACCCTATTCAATACAATTTTTAAATGTTGACCCTGTCCAAGATATATACCAGGCAGTGTGGGAATCAAGCGTAGATTTTCCAGTTTTAGTCGTGAATTAATGTAAAAATCACAAGTAAAAGCACACAAAAAAAATAATAATGTTATCATATTTGTCAAATAGATTTGAATGATTCCCCTATCAATGCTTCTTTTCCTTAAACTGAACGTCAACATTTTAATGCAATTAAAATAACAATAAAGAAACATCGGGTTTTAAGAGACAGCTCGGCCCAAAAATCATTCCGTACTTTTAAGTACAAGTCTTATTCAAACTTCCAGTATTTACTACTTTACGCTGTTTTCATTAGCAGTCGATCAAAAATTTAGGAAAAAAACTTTCAAATGGCTAGTTTGATATTATCTGTATTCTCAGTCCTATACCCCATCTTGAGTCAATCGAAGATCTATTGATCTGTATAATATTACATAAAATATTTGCAAAAAAAAAAACAGTTTTATTACGTAAAATTACATGGAAATTCCCAGGCGAAGGGATTGATTTTTTGATTCAAGATTAAAAAATTTCGTGCCTGGAATAAGGAGAAAAGAGAAGACTGGCCAATTAGATGACCATTGTTGCTATTTTTACTATCAAATGTTCTTTAGAAAAAAACATCACTTTACTGATTTTCTGCATTGTTAAGGTTTTGGCGTCAGCTGAAATGAGCTCATTCCCATTTACCATTTTATGCGTATAAACCACTAAAAATATCTTGGAACGCACGCAAAGAAAAAAACCTTACAGAGTCTTATCAAGCTTGCTAAAAATTCAATTTGGTATGAAATATAATTATGTAAGCACTAGTTTCGTCATTTTAAGTGCGGCTTCCTACAAATTTAAGTCTGAAAATTAGCGAAAATCATTCTTTTCTTTCAACTGAGCGCTCACGCAAGACGTGATAGTGTCGGCAGTGTGTGCATGTCCTCTTATTGACGCTCTTATCAGAAAACCACAGCGCGAGAATTTACACAAGAGTACTGTAAAACCATTAAAAAATTATCTTGACGGAAAAGCTTCCCGACTTATTTTTCGTTTGTTTCGTCTTAACACAAGTCTGTCAAAAAATATTCATGATAGAAGCCGATGAAAAATGTTAGAACTCCTTTTTTTCGTTTTGTAGAGCAAACGCAGGAAAACCATGAAATAAAATCAAATTTAAAAAAAAACTAACAAATAGCGGCTATTTAGAGGCAAATTGTCATTATCAATGAGCCAGAACGCAATCAAGATTAATTAAAAATGGTCCGATGTGGATAATAATAAATGAAGATGTAAATAAATTCTTGTTAACGTACTTCTTTGAAAGACTTCGGACTTCTTCTTCTGAAAAAAAAAACGAATTGGAAAGCAGGGGATTCTATTCGTGTCCAATAGAGCAAGAAAATTATTAAATAGAAGAGCCATTGCTTCACTTCCACACTTTCTATGATCTACGGATCAGAAATTTCTAGCGGTTATTGCAGTTCTTGGCTGTTCTAGAAGTTATTGATCGTTTTCACGCATTCCCATGAGATTCAAAAGATAAAAGACCGCCGGCCATATGTTGGAGGAATGAACAATAGATACTAATTAAAATCCTTTGTTAAAGTTCCTTCAAGATGGCCGCTGCATGTGACGTAACTTGAAATGGAAGAATTAATTACTTCTTGTTCCACTGCATTGTTAAAGTTTTGACAGCATCTGTAAGACATAGTATAATTCCCATAGGTAACTGTACTATTCTGTTGGAATCATCGTGTAGCAAAAATAGGGGAGCATCCACGAATATTGAGTTTAATAAAATTATTGTATAATATAACAACCTTTTTGAAGGATCTCGTTGAGTTTACTCCAGATAATCACATACAATATAACCCAAAAAACACCTAAGATTAAAGCATTCTGATGATTAACTTTAAGGCCCACATGCGTTCAATAACATTTGCGATCGTTCCTATTGTTTTACAAATGATCATATATTGAAAGAAGCTATTCTGATTGTCTCAAAATGGTAAGTTTTCGCACGTGAGAAAATTGAGCAAAATTTCTTCGATGGATGTGGTCTTTTAAAAAGGAATCAAAATTCTAATACTTGCAAATTCCTTATCTATGGAATTAGTATTATTTAAAAATGTGAGCCATTCGAATTCCGTGCTTAGAATAATCTAGAGAAGATGACCAATTGGAGATGTAGCTGTTGTATATTAATGCTACTCCTACATTTTGTAAATCTGCGAACCAGAAGTAATTACCTGGTTAAAGGAGTCTTAATTAAATCATTGTACTGACACATTTTTTTCTTGTTTCACACCATTGTTAAGGATTTGACAGCAGCTGTAACTTTATTATTTTATGTTTAAATCGCCAAAAACCTCTTGGAATACATATCAAGAAAACAAGTTTCCAGTGTCTTAGCAAGCTTGCTCAAAATGCAATTCGATAAAGTAATAGTAGCTACTAGTTTCGTTCTTTTATACGCGCCTCACTTTTATTAAAAATTAATGACAATTGTTTCCAAATACCTAAGAAATTGGTCTCCATTAACATAACAAATAAAACGTGATAGAAATGAATTACTTCATTATAGTACTCGAGAATACTACGTTATGTTTGATAGTAAGAGATTATAAAAACCCAAAAGATCGCAAATCCCCTCCTCCACCACTTTTCCTTGTCCACACAAAACAACAGTGAGCCTCAAACAGTCTTCACTTGTCGTTTACTACTTGCAATGTCTACATCAAACAGCACATCGACTTGTTTTATATCAGTAGACTTCGACAGCTACAATATCACAGATTTACCCGATGCTGTAGTCCAAGTATGGACCACCCTCGCTATCATCAATGGCATCGCTTCCCCTTTTACAGCAGTTCTTAATGCCTTGATGATCTGGACGATTTTAGGAGATTATCAGCTGAGATCAAAGACCTACAATACCTTACTGGCGTCCCTTGCTGTGACTGACCTCCTAGTCGGGTTAGTAGTAGAACCCGTATACTGCCAATTCCTTGTAAATTTAATCAAAGAGCCCGATCCACCATGCCTATTATTTGAGGTCTACATGTTAGCAATGGTGTTTTGCGCTGGGATGACATTATGTACTTTGATGATTCAAAGCGTAGAAAGATATCTTGCTATACAGCTTCCAATCTTCCATCGCGTCCATGTATCAACCAAGAGGGTCATGACCATGACTGTTGCCACATGGATATGTACTCCGACAATCATGTTAGCCCTTAGAATGCTTTTGAATGACTCACGCACCTTTAAGCAGGTACCATTTCTCAAGTTCATTTTAGGAAACACTCTTGCCATATTGTACTGTACCRCAAGAGTACACATAACGGCATATTACAAAAGGAAAAAAAGATCCAGTGCAGCATTGTCTACATCTCAGCAATCGCAGCAGGATCGCACTGAGCAACAAAAGCAAAAGATCAAAGAGTACAACCGGGCCTTTACAATGGGTATTTTAGTACTCACATCTGTAATATTCTATTTTCCTTTCATTACTGTCAGCATCATACAAGTAGCCAGCGGAAAAGACGTTACGCAAGATTTTCAATACATTGCAAAAGAAATTTCGGCAACAATCATTCACCTGCAGTCTTTGATCAACCCTTTATCATATCACTACGCATTAAGAAGATAAGAAAAGGTTTAAAGAAGAAAATGATGTGTAGATTTAATTAACACTAAAGAACTATGATAGACAATAGGCATAGTCTCTCAACTGCATTTCTCATGTAACTCAGTCAGGTATTGCAGCCACAGATTAACCCTTCAAAATCCACCAACAAACATTTAGGTCTAAGCTATAATGTAATTGAACAAAGATTCAAACATCCTAAACCGCAATGAAAAAATTCAATAATGGGCCAAGCTATACCGTCAATCAATGATAAATCATGCAATTCAGTCATCCAATAATACTAAGATATACAGTCATCCAATGATGAACTAAGCTATACAGTCATCCAATGATGAACTAAGCTATACAGTCATCCAATGATGAACTAAGCTATACAGTCATCCAATGATGAACTAAGCTATACAGTCATCCAATGATGAACTAAGCTATACAGTCATCCAATGATGAACTAAGCTATACAGTCATCCAATGATGAACTAAGCTATACAGTCATCCAATGATGAACTAAGCTATACAGTCATCCAATGATGAACTAAGCTATACAGTCATCCAATGATGAACT